CCAGCAGACCATAGAACACTCCGAAACATTCTCAGCTTCCCGGGAAGCATACAGTGCAAGCAGCTGATTAAGCGCTCAAACACTAACAAACTGACAAGATCTTTCGCTGTCTATAGCCGGGTACCCATTCCCACCTGGGTGAAGTGAGGAAAATTCGTGTAAAGTGCCTTTCCCAAGGACACAACGTCGGGTCCCTGACGGGATTCGAACCCACGACCTTACGGTTGCGAGTCCGAGAGCCTAACCGAGAGTTAATTTTACCAGCAGGGCGGACTTTTTTGGTAGATTAGTTGACAACGTCGTCGAGCGCTGTAGTGTACTGAAGTGTAGTCCAGCCAGCTGGGTGGTTGGAGTGTGTTTGTTTTGGTAGAGGTTTTACGGCGCTGGCAACTGCATAAGGTCGTATGGGCGCCAGAAGATTAGGTGTTACAACAGAGAAACAAACATAAAAAAGAGGAGATCAGGAAGATAGATATTTGATAGGAAAGAGGGAACAAACCACACCAGAACACATCCCCTCACTAACAAATCAAACTACAGATAGTCTTCTTTTAAATTAAAAAGATCCAGTATTTGCAAGCATAATTTTTAAGTCAAATATAGTTGGTGGATTCTGTTATAATATATATGAATTTATTTAATTATGTGATTTTGTTGGATGAACTCTTTGGCGTCATCCAGCCAAGTTTTTGTCTTTTTACCATACCTTTGAGGCAGCCCAATTCTTATGGCCTCTGAGTAACGGCCCCTTAATAAATCGAACCGTGTGCCACGAAAAGCGACAGAGCCCAGACAAGCGGCTTTGGATAGACCATTTTTAGTTTTCTGGAACCCCCCCCCCCCCCCCGAAAAACAAACCAAAAACATTTGACAGTCTGAGCGAGGGATCATTGTCAGTCTCTGTTTGATCCGGTTACGACTTTTATCCGGTTACGACTTTTATCCGGTTACGACTTTTATCCGGTTATGCCTTTATATAGTCAGAAAAGTCCCCCTTGAAACCTATTATCTGGATATTTTTTGCTTTTGTGGCTCTCAAGTTCAGGGTCAAGTAGGTTTGACGTGAGTTGTATTTTACACTGAATCGATGCGATGAGAGCTATTTTAAAAAAAAAGTGCATTTCATTTTTTGTGCATTCTGATACCAACTCTCTCTCTCTCTCTCTCTCTCTCTCTCTCTCTCTCTCTCTCTCTCTCTCTCTCTCTCTCTCTCTCTCTCTCATTCTCTCTCTCTCTCTCTTTTTTGCTCTCTCTCTGTCTCTGTCTCTCTCTTTGTCTCTCTCTCTCTACACCCCCCACCGCCAATCTTAGAAAGATTTTCAACAAAACAAAACAAATAATCCCCCCCCCCCAAAAAAAAACCCAACAACAATATCCCAGGAAGGAATGTTTTTGCAAATCGTTAACATCCAACAGATATATTGGTAAAATTAATTTCGATCTCCAATTCTTAAATTTTAAAAGCGACTTTCCCACATGATATTACAATGACACAAATGTATTCCTCAATGAGGGTTGCATGAGCAGTATCTGTCTATTGTTCTCTCTATCCATTTATCTGTCTCTCTATCTATGTCTATCTCTCTATCTCTCTCCCTATCTCTCTCTCTATCTCTCTATCTCTCTATCTATCTATCTATCTATCTATCTATCTATCTATCTATCTATCTATCTATCTATCGATCTGTCTGTCTGTCTGTCTGTCTGTCTGTCTGTCTGTCTGTCTGTCTGTCTGTCTGTCTGTCTGTCTGTCTATCTATCTGTCTGTCTGCCGGTCTATCTATCTATCTATCTATCTATTGCACATTTTTTTTCAAACGTTTTCCCCACACACCAGTGTGTGCGTGATAAGGCTTAGAGTGAATTTTAAAGATCAAGACTAAGCTGTGAAGTTACGACACCCCCGGCTGTACTAGGTCATTCCATTGTCGACGAGAAGATTAAGACAATGACCCCAATAAGGTGAGATAGTTGAGTAGGGCACGCACTGCGTACACTTATCAAGAGAGCGAAAGACTCTTGTCTCTAAAATCTTCTGGTTTTACGAATTGATCTGACATACAATGGGATAAAGGAATTTCTGTAGTCTGTCCCTACCACACCAATATACCCACCCCATTTATAAAAATAGGAAAGTTACGACGCTGTACAATAAGGCTACAGCCACATCTTAAGATTCATGACCGGAAGCAGCAATGTACTGCTCAACGAATGGTGCACATGACTCATCAAATTGCTAAAAAAACCACAACGTCTGTATATCGATGACCGTCAGATAGCCAGATACAGCTAATGTGTGACCCATAAAAACGTTATAATTAAAAGATAATTGGTACCAGACTTGATACAGCACAAGTTGCCCAAATTATTTCATTTTGCGTGCCCGATCTTCTGCGATCTTTGTTACACAATTACCATTGTAAACGACAAAGACTAATTTTTTTCATACGGGATTAATAGAATTGCCATTGTCACTGTCATCAAATAAATGATTCAAAAATTTTCTCTCATGAGGATTGGCGTCTGTGATGCAAAGCCAGGATCCTAACTATTGTACACAAAAAGAAGGACTTCGATTCCCGAATGAGTAGTCTCTTACTAAGTTTCTATACAATCTGTTTGGATGCTGTATGCCATTCATCAAGTACTGGTCCTGGTAGACATGGGCGAATTTTAAAGCAGCCCTTGATTTTCTATATTATGGTCTGAAATGCGTTAATTGGGGGGGGGGGGGGGGGTGGTAAATTATTCACAAACATACAACATTAAATGTAACATGTAACACTACCCAGGTTCAATGAGAAACTCGTTGTTCGAACGGTTTTCAAGGATAATTTATCGTTGTCATTTTTTGCTATGATTTTATATTCAGTCGTGGTAGAAAGAAAGAGAGATTACGATTAATCTCTTCACTGTTGCACTCAGAATGCATATGGATTCTCGTATGAGAAAGTTAAATGCATGTTATCTTGATCTCTGTCTTTATGCTGGGATGTATCACACTCATCTCAGGCTGGCTTAACTGATAAGGTCGAAGCAGCCAGACTCTTAATTGATCTGAATTGCGTTGATGGATATAACACATTCATGGAAGCATCTTTAAAAAGCAACACACTTTTATTTGTACCAGAAGAGCACTTTGGTTTACAATGGCAAACATACATGTACATACATAAATACATAATTATAAATACGTACATACATAAATACATGCATACATCATTTTTACTATCTTCCCATTTTTAATTGTTTGCCCTCTCCTATCACCGGTGTCTGTGGAATAGCAGTCCCAAAGAGTCTACATAATAAGAGGGGCCACTTCTCTCTTTGAGCCAATTAAAAAAGTGTCCTCAAAATTCGGTGGCGCCCTCTTCACAAAAGCGCACCTTTTGCGAACAGAGTTACCCTACTTGAGTTTAAAAAATCAAAGTGAAACTAGCAAGTTTTTGAATAAATTTCGGAAGAACGCTTTTTTAAAATGGTTACGCTGACAAAAAAAAAAACTCTTCCGGAGGAAAGGGTGATTGTTTTCTTCGTTTAATTTGACTTTAGAATGAAAGGTGAGAGGTCATTAAAATTTAAAAAACCCTAAAACTCCACACTGAACGAACCCGAACTGCTGATGAACAGCAGTCGATCTGCGCACGCAAGGAGGTGCTATTCCTATTCTTCTTCTGGTAAAACGAAAGAGAGCTTCAAAACAGACTGCAGCGCCATCTGAAACAAAGAGCGCACTTCCTGCGGACACTTTTTTGGCTGAGTGGCCCATCTTGTTATGTATTATCTTTGGCAGTCCCACGCAGAAGATGGGAATTCGATTTCATTTTTTTAAATTTTCATCTACTTTCTGAGATAGTCCTTTACAGGCAATGCCGAAGCAGCACACCTCCTAAATGATATAAATTGCAGCGATGGGGATTTAGAGTGTAATATTTAAATTACAAAAGCACCTCATATATCATTGACCCTCCTCCATCTCACCTCATACGGTACCTAAAACTTCATAATTCTTCGTTTCAGCACCCACGTTTGAGAACGAACATCATCATGCACGGTCTTTCTTCATTCGTGTTACTGATGGCGTCACTGCTGGTCGTCAGAGGGGCGGGGCTCGGAAAGTCCTCGGAACATGCGGTTCATGACGTCACAGGCAGCGACGGGGACATCCATCCTTTCCTCAGGGTAGCCAGAAGCTCCACGGCCAATATGGTAAGCATTCTTGTTGGACCGTTTATCAGTCTGTTTATTCTTTTTTGTGTTTATTTATTATAATTTAGCACAGACAAGCATTAAAAGAATTATTATTATTATTATTATTATTATTATTATTATTATTATTATTATTATTATTATTATTATTAGTATTAATAATAATAATAATAATAATAATAATAATAATAATAATAATAATAATAATATAATAATAATTATTTTTAGTAGTGGTAGTAGTGGTAGTAGTAGTAGTAGTAGTAGTAGTAGTAGTAGTAGTAGTAGTAGTAGTAGTAGTAGTAGTAGTAGTAGTAGTAGTAGTAGTAGTAGTAGTAGTAGTAGTAGTAGTAGTAGTAGTAGTAGTAGTAG